TCTGCCTGTAACATTACTGCTTGCTTCTGTGCAAGTGCTTTTTGCACAAGAACTCCCTGTGTGTCAGGTGATGGATGCTGTCGCGATCCCTGCTGGTAAAGGTGCATCTCTGCAGTGTGGGAACAAGAGCTTTGAATTCATTCCCTAAACACTTCTCAGGTTTGGAGCAGAGTGATGGTTTTCTCTAAGTTTTAGGTTTGTCAGCAATACCTACACCACTGGTAAATCCCAAGCTTGGAGTGGAAGAGGCATTGCATCTTGTTCAGCAGTTCCCAGTGCTGAAGGTATATTGAAGTTGCACGCGTGGCCTGTAAATAGCTGAAACGCCTCAGTCTGGATTTCATTGTAACATTATGTTATGCTGTGGACTGTGTGGCTGTTCAGTTATTTTAGCTATGGGTAGCAGATGTCCCTCATCCAGAGAACTGATGTATTTTAGCTGGTCTAGAGACTTGCTCTCCACGCACAGGCAGAGTAATTCCTGGCAAAAGCTCATTACCCATGGGACACGGAGCGTGTGACTCTGTAATTTCAGTGAAGGATGTACAGACATCTCTTAAAAGTTAACTGTCACTCTAGACTATAGTAACTTGTCAAAGGTGTCTGTTACTCTTGTTTTGTCATGTTAGAGATGTAGTACCTGCCAAGCTTACTGTGTTCTTTTTCTTTTTGATAAGGTTGTAGTTCAGTCTTACCAAATGTTTAACCTTAACCTTTTTTGAAGCTTCTGGTGTCTTAGGACTGGATGTTAATTGCCGGCAAAAAGCATCTGTTGTGGAGTCAAAGCTCTCTTCTTTCCAAGTTCCACAGCTGCTCTGGTGCTAATAGATGTCCCAGAGCTAGACCAGTCTTCCATAGAGAAGAATATAAACTAGAGATGGCTTTGCCTGCCTGTCTGCTCTGTAGCTGCTAAATTCTTGAAGGCCTGAACCATAAAGATATGCACTTGATATCTACAGAGCTTCCAGCTGTCATTAGGAGTTACCAAACTTGGCTGCCTCTGCTGGGGCTCTCCCTTGCAGTTGTCTGCTGCTCGTCTGGGGCTGAGCAAGGCCCGGTCCTGCCTGGAAACAGTGACACAGCTATTCCCATCTTCAGGACTGTCTGGAAAGATTGAGGAGGAATTCCTTAACCTTTAAATTATTCAACCAGGATTTCAAGCATGGAGTTAATGTGAAGTCTCTGTTGGCCTTGGTACAACAGATGTTGCTGTGCGTTTGGGGATGGCGTGCTTCAGGGCTCAATAAGGACTTCTACATACTTACTGAAGCATGTTGTCTTATCCTGAGGACAACATAGATGATGCTTTAGGAGCTCCTGCTCTTTAAAGAAGAGGTATGGGATTAGACCTGGGGGCTTGCAGAATGGCCTGGTGGGTGGTTTTCCCAACTCTGTTGTTCTTGGCTTGCATCCTGCAATGGGAGCATTCTGAGGGATGTTCCTTGTGTTGGATAAGGATGTTCCCTCTGGGTTGGCTCAGCTGGCTTGGGTAGCTAAATCTGACTTGTTTAATGTGGAGGTTGTTGACAAAGCTCTGAAAGCATCTGCAGTGCAGGAGAATGCATATATAGAATCATAGAATAGTTAGGCTTGGAAAGACTGTTAACTGTTACGTGGTGCCTTTTGAGATGGAAACCCACTTGTGATCCATGTTCCTGTCCCCTCCCTATGTTCTCACTGTTAAAAGCTTGTGTCATCATTAGCTTTACTAAGTGCTTATTTCAGGTGATATCAGGGTTGAAGCCATGTATTTGAGAGCAGCCATTGATAGTCCCAGCTAACAGCACATGGCTTTTGAGGCAGAGGTTCTGGGTATGTGATGGATTATTTAGGAGTTAAAGGGAAGAGAGGAAATGCATCCTTGTAAGGATCCTCGCTGTAGGGTTGAGCTGGATTCTGCATTTACACTCCCCTTTGCAAACGTGTAAGTAAAACTACTTTTTGCTATAAGCTTTTCTGCAATCGTTTGTACACTTCATAAAGGATATTTCAAGAATTTTGGTAGCTATAGAGTTGAGAGCTGTCTTGAAAGAACCTTTCTACTTGAAATGTGTTTCCTGTGTCTAGTGCTGCCTTTAATCTCATGCGGGCTCACAAAACCCGTTCTACCTATTAAATATGCAGTAAAGCTGTTCTGTTTGGTGGGAGATTGTATGTTTAAACAGCAGAAGTCCTCATTGCTCCTGTACTTTAAGATTAAAAATTCAACTGCAACACTACCTTCGGATTCAGAGCCATTAGAATGGATTTCTCAGATTTATTCTCCTGATTATAATACAGAAAATTAATTGCTTTTGACTGTAAGGAATTATGACCCATTCATTATTTAACAACCTTCTTAATGGATGAACCTTTGTGATTACTTCAGACATTTCCTGAAAAAAAGGCTGCTTTTTGAACTGGTAGAGAGCATAATGCACCTGTATCAAACAGTGGGTGCACTGCACACACTTTAGGGGTAAGGACTGGTGGAAAATTCAAACAGGACTTTATTCATGTCTGGTCTTCTTCAGGATTCAACATAAAAGTAATGGAGCCTGCTGGGAGGAACCAGGGGGTAAGTTACTTGAACAGCATTTAAAATCGTAGAATCCCAGCCTGGTTTGTGTTGGAAGGGACCTTAAAGCTCACCCAGCTCCAACCCCTGCCACAGGCAGGGACACCTTCCACTAGAGCAGCTTGCTCCAAGCCCCTGTGTCCAACCTGGCCTTGAACACTGCCAGGGATGGGGCAGCCACAGCTTCTCTGGGCACCCTGTGCCAGCGCCTCAGCACCCTCACAGGGAAGAACTTTCAAAATAACCCCCAGAGCATGTGGTTCCTGCTGTCAAATGTGACAGAGCTTTAACTCATCGCAGTACAATCGTTTTCCTGGAACCGTCATGGTAATGGAATTGTTGATAAGGGAACTATTCCGTATCACTGTTTTCCATATGAACAGAGGACAGTGAATATTAACATCGGGGTTTATGGTGGGTGAATACTTGTGCTGAATTCTGTCCCTTGGCCTGTACACTCACGCAAGGAGGGAGCCAGTGCTTCCCCAGATGTGCTGCAGGTTGCAGTTCATTTGTGTGGTCCTCTCTGGTCAGGTTCTCGAGTCTCAGGTTTTTTGCAGTTGTCTTAATGCAGCCTACATTTCAAAGTAAGCTGCAAGTGATGATGACATTTCCTTGTTACTAATTGCATTTCAAGGTTTTGCACAGTATATTCAGAATACCGTCTTTTCTCTTGTGTATCTTGCCTTTGCTTATGAAAACATTGCGTTTGAGAGATGCTTTTAATCTTAAAATTAGTCTCTTTGAGAGTTTCAGAGCATAGATTTCTTGTGTGCTACTTTGAAATACTAGCAGGATTTGAGGGGCAGGTAGCCCACGGACACTGAAAACCCTTGAGAACTTGTTCCAGCCAAACCTTTTGCAGAAGAGTAAATGCAACTGAGGCTCAGTTACTAAAATGATTTTAACTGGCAATTCAGTGGATGTAATTGTCCTGGAACATCCTGAAACCTTTTCTTTTGCTCAGCTGGTGTATCAAGGCTTTTGGGTTGTGTCCGTGAACTTGTCACTTCTCTAAAAGAGAAATCTTGAACGTTGCGTTCATTGTGGTACCCACATAAAGAACACTTGCATAGGGAACGTGTTTCTGACACTTTCTGCCTGGCTGCGATTCAGAGCTGAAGTGATGTCTTGCTGGTTTGACATCTCTAAGTGATACGGATTGTTTGTCCTTGCTAAACTCTTGGTGAAGTGGGCCTGCTGGAGATCCCACGCTCCTGGCTGGCACCATGATCAGCAGGTGATCACGGTGATCTGCCAGGAGACTGAGGGAGCACCCATGGCAAGAGACAGGTCTTGGCAGACCCAGCCACTGCCAGGTCAGGCTGGGGCTTACACCAGTGTGCTGGAGAGCATGCTGCTGCCCCTGATGCAGGTATTCACAGGGATTCAGTATTAAGGGGTAAGAGTCTGGGTTTGGTTTTCACTTTTTCATCTTATTGTAAACAGTATTTGCTAGTCAAGAAAGGACCTTACTTGGTAAGAACCCCTGCAGCCCAGCTCATTTCAAGACCCTCATCAAGAGCCAGCCTGGACGGGGCTTAGCAACCTGCTCTAGTGGCAGGTATCTGTGCCTGTGGCAGGGCGGTTAGAACTAGATGAGCCTTAAGGTCTTTTCCAACCCAAACCAGTCTGTGATTCTGTGATTTACTGTAGTAAACCAGAAGGTGCTGTGTTTGATATGGTTGTGGCAAATCGACTGGCCCAAACCTGACTTGTCTCCTTTGGATGTAGATGGGTCTTTACATATTGTGAAACAATGAGCTTTTGACATCTGTTTGACAAGGGAGGAAGAAAGAGGCAAATTCAGTTTTACAGTATACACAATTTTAATAACAAAACTTTTCTGTACACTGCACTTGGTTTTCCTCCATTACTTACACCCCCTCCCACCAAAAGTTGCCTCTTTAAACATAATTTAAGTACAATGCATCGAGGACTCTCTTTAATCTCTGGTTGCTAAGCTAGTAGAATAGTTCACTTGCTAATGTTTTCATCAGGAAAAAGAAAAATGGGGTTGGTTTTGTTTGGGGTTTTATACAAAGGAGTGGTTGAAGGGGAGCAGTTGTAGCTCAACAGTGCTCACACCAGAGGTGCTCAACTGCACTGTGTTTGCCCTTAGTGCAAGTTTTGTGCAGTCTGAGGCTTGATTTTATCCATCAAAGCTTCCTGTTACCTTTGCCTAGATACCTCTTGAAGGGTTTTTATGCAGGATGTGAAATGCTGAGTTTCCAGCTGACTCTGAAATGATCTTAAAGCATCCTGCTAGCATGGTGGCTTAAGAAGCAAAGCCTGGCATCTGTTTTAGCAAATGGGACTTCTTGTAGTGAAGAAAGGCATGGGGATGGAGGAGCTGCTGTGCAGCTGCCTTTGATTTTTTGTTGTTTCCCTTCTTGTTTCCTTGGGGGTGTGGGGTGTGGGGGGGGGGGGTGTGGGGTGTGTGTGTGGAAAAAAATACTGTATCTCTCACTGAACTTTTAATTTTCATGGAAAGCTTCTCCAGAAAGATGAAACTCAGCTTCTGGGTAGATTTCATAAGTCTGAACAGATGGATTTTGATAGCTACGCAGATCACAAAATTAAATCCACTTTATTTTCATTAAAGCAGTACAGGAATTAACTTAGACACATTAAATAAAGGGTCTAGTGCAGGTTTCTGGTTTAAAGCTGCTGGATATTTCTGATTTGACGTGTTAGCAGTAGGCCAGTGTCTTGTAAGGGGGCTAATGGGACATAAAGCTCAGCTGCTTGGATTTGCTTATTGCTGAAAAATGAAATAACTTCTGCTTGGAGGGAAAGGAAGCAAAACCAAACATTGATGCAGCAGTATTAATTACGTTTCCATCTGATGGGAGCCTTGTGCAGAGGTGCGCTTCAGCTGGAGACTAACCGCTAACCCATTTCACTCTTCATCGAGTAATCCTTAGTTGTGTGCATTTAAACATGATCTAATGCAAAGCAACTACCAAGAGGGGAGCTGGAAGCATTAATTCAGACCTGTTCCAGCGTGATGACTCAAACTGATCTGGTACTGCTGGCATTCATTTCCCTGATGCAGGGGTGGGGAGGAGCAGAAGCTGGCTGGAGATAAGTGAGGCTGGAGGAGACCTTTGGGTGGGATGTGGATCTCAAGAGCAGTAGGAGAAGTTCTCATTTCTAAAAGGCCCTGAGCTCTTGGGTGAGGCTGTGCTTGAAGGGGGTGGAGCACCTGTGGAATACCTGTAGAAACTAAGGCTGAGCCACAGAGATGATATTTGGGGAGAGCAAATGAACAACCTCTCATCATCAGCCAGTGCTCAAGCTGAAACACTATTAATTTAAACCAAATCGTCATGGTTCTTGTGCCATAAAATAAATCAAAGACTGTTGAGTAACACCATTATTACAGTTCCCTCCTTTCCTGGAAGAGTCACAAGCAATTGATCCTGAAAGACAGTAACTTTAAAAAAAAAAAAGAAAAGAAATAATAGAGAGCAGCCTCCGGTTGTGTCCTTGTGTAAAGCTCTGCCTGCCGTTCCCTGTCTCTCCTAAGGGAATTCAAGCTGACTTCACTGCTAGTGTTTGACATTCTATGAGTTTTATGATACCTGTTACTCTAAATGTAATGTTTGCAGAATTGCTCTGCTTATGCCTGGAACCTGGCAACAAATGGTTTTGGAAATGGCAGACATAAACCACGGCATTTGGGAGATTGGCTGCATATTCCTGTGTAGTGCAGAGGTAAAACTGTGCAGTGCCGTGTGAGGCTGTGTCTGCTGGACCCTGCTTTGGTGCCTGTGAGGCAGGGCAGCACTGTGGGACCAGTGGGACTTGGAACAGTGGTGGGGAAGGGGAGTTGGGTGCCTGGGTGTCTTTGTTATAATGCTTGGGAAATTGGTATGAGGGACTGGGATGGAAAAGAGGATTAAATCCAGCATTGCTGGAACATCTGTCTTTTCTCTTCTTGGGCATAATTATATGCTAACAAAGATGGAGTGAGCCTCTGCACAGAGTGGTGGGAAAGCACCTCGTTGGGAGGAACCTTGGCGCTTCAGTCAAGCAGCCACTTCTCGTTTCCATGTGGAAGACTGAATGGTACCTCCTGAACTGTCTTCCAGCAGGGTTTCTGCTGGGTGTGAAGGAGAGAGGTGGAATTCCTTCTTGCAAAAGCAGCTGAGGACATCAGAGTTCAGCATTGACATCTGATGGTTGATGAGCGTGTAGCCAGATTACTTGGCTGCCAGTGTAATTAATGAGCTCAGTTATAACTCGGTCTTTGTGGGTACCCTACAGCTGTACATTAGAATCAGCCCCAAAGTATTTGCTTCCCACTGCAGGCTATCATGTTGGAGGTAAGGGAGGTGTACAGTGATGCCTGCTTGCCTGCCCAGAGCAGAACAAAACCCTGGCCATAAGGGAGGAGCTGGTGTGGTAAGGAATGTGGCAAGTCTTCCTTGATACCCTTGGACACCAGTACCTTTTTGTATTTATCAGCTTGGGTCTGGCCTTTTGGCCTGCGTAGAATTTAATCATACAGAATATTTGCTCTCTGTCCCCCTGCCCCACGGCATTTATTGTATTCAGTTTAAAGCAGTAATTGATTTCCTACAGTGTGTAAATTAGCTCATTGGAGTATAAATAGTTACAAGGGTTCAAATATCTCTATGGAAAACCATTAGGCTTCACTGAATCTTTTCCATTAAAGTACAGAGTCACAGGAAGTAAACAAAATTTGCTTTATAATAAGGGCACTGGATGTGAAAGCAAAATGATGCAAATTAATATCTTCAAACCCAGTCACTGGAAAAAGCTTTATGTAAAATCTGAACAGAAGTCACTTATCTTGCTAGAATTGCCTTGGACGACTTCATTCCACAATAAAACATCAAACTGTTGTATAATTGCACCCTAAATACCTCACTAAGTGGTAATACAGATATAGAAAAGCAGAGTGAAATAGCAAACAGATTTTTATGCAGTGCTTTCTTTTCCATTCAGAAAGTTTGCAGAGTAGTTGAGTACAACACAATTAGCATACTGCAATTACTGATTTGGTCAAGGTATGGCAACACTGTGAGGAATTTCTTCATCCATGTGTGCTGGGAATTGTTTGACACTGCAGCACTGGACACAACACATTGGTTTTTTTGAGTTATACATACATGTGTATATATATATATAAAACCCTTCCATCCCTCTGGTCCTTTTAGCTTTGGTTCGAATGTTTCCAAGATTGGAGCAGTTGACTTAAAAATACTGGAATCCTTTGCAGCTCCCCCCTTTCTCCCCCTGTGGCACCCGAGTACCAGCACCACTGCATAGATCTGCAACTATTTACATAGAATTTCAGAATAGAGTATAAATAGCAATATGGTACTTCTGCCTCAAGAAATCAAATTGCTCCTGAAGAATGAGGTGCGCGTGTGTGTATATATATTTCTATATGATTTCTTTAAACATACACTAGTTTAAATTCTGTGCCACATCAAGTAAGAAATGAAACATTTTTCAGTGAACTATTCTCTAACCTAATTATATTATCCTAATTTACCAGAAGGTAAGGGATTGGGGGGTTTAAACTGGTAGTTACCTTGAATTTAGGAAGAGGGAGGACAAGTGAGAGCTTATATTACAGGGGCTAATTCTGTCTCCAGAGAAACCAGTGGAGTTAGTGCATGAAAATAGCTTTCAGGCGAGAGGAAGCCTCAGCTGGGGGAGGGAGCGGGGGGACAAAGAGAGGCTTCTTCCTCCCTTCCCTCTTCTCCTCACCCTCCCGCTTGATATTTACTTTTAATTAAGAAAAACTTGCATTAAGGGTATTTACACATGAAATGCTGTTTGTTCATAGGCGTATGTAATTAGCCTGAATTCATGAAAAGCAGCAGCGAGGCAAACCAGAGAGCCGATAAGAATTAAATGCACTTAATATTTCAAATCGATCCTGTTGTACTGAGCCTTCCTAAACAAGCTATGCTGCCACTTTTTAAGTGCCTGGAGAGTCCTTCCTGCTCATTTGTGACCATCCTCCTAATCTGTGATCATCCTGCTCATTTGTGACCGTGTGAACTGCTCCTTTCTGTAGCTCCTCTGAGCTTTAGCAAGGTCCAGTTAAGCCAAACCAAATGTGCAGGTAGGAAAACTGCATTTAAAATAAATCTCCAGGTCCCCAATGCACCGAATTTCCCACCTGGACCCTTTGCTGCTCCTTTCTTGTTTCCCCACCCTTCTTTTTGTTTGTATTTTTAACTGGAGTGAGATTATCAGAGGAGGAAAATCCTCCTCCAGGGCTGCCTTTAAAGTGACCGGAGCCAGCTGGAGCGGTTGGGATCCTCCAGCTGCAGTGGAACAAACGGAGCGTATGTCCCCCCGCAGAGCTCTGTGCCCTCTCCAGCATCCTTCCCCTCCCACTGCTTTCAGTAGCAAAAGTCAAATATGGAGACTCGGGTCTAAATGTTTACACACAGTCATAGAATTACATAAACATGAAACATCTTACAGAGTTGGAGGTGAGCATCTTTTGAGACTTTTCAACATTAGGAGTGCAAGTTTAATGTAATCCATTGCGTCCTTAACACTGAAAATAGTATGGGTTTATCATTTAAAAAGAAACAAACCAACTTAAAAATACTGCACCACTCCATAAACAATGTTTCCATTAAGGAGCTTGGAAAATTAGGCTTTATGTCAACATCTGTAAAAATTAGACTCTGATGTAGGTCCCCTACAATTTTAAAATAGGTTACTTATCTGGTTTCATTTGGGATGGCATATGGGTATTATACTTCACATTCTTTGTACGGCAGCTGCTGACACTTGCACTGTCCGTAGCCGTTAATGATGATGAAGGGTCCTTCGTGGGTGGGTTCGTATTCGTTATAGGGTCCTTGGTCTGACATATTTGCCATATGCAGCCGCGTTTGGGAGCGGAGCTGCCTGTGGTTTTGAATCATTGAGCACTGCCTGATTCTTCTTAATGTGGGAGGGCAGCACTTCCTGGAGATGAACACTATAAAAATGATAAAAAAGAAAGAAAACAATAAAGCCATTGTTCCTGTAATTACCCTCTGAGTGAAGATGGCATTGTTTGGCTCAGGGAAATGTTCTTCGGTGGTAACGACCATGCCTGCTGTAGTTGGGATCTCTTTGTCTCCCATATGGAAATGAGAAGAGCTTATTCTTTTGGGGTACTCGGTAGTCGGAGCTGCGTACGTCGTAGCCACGGTCGTAACAACAGTTGATAAATTCCAGCAAAGCTGAAAACCATAGACTGCATCCAGAATATCCTCTCCCTGGGTGTGGTCGGGGCTGTGGCAGAGGATGGAGTGCTCCCACCGACCTTGGAATCCACTCAGCCAGGTGGCCAAAGCGCAGATCTTGGGGCTGCATTCCCACAGATTGCCGGAGAGGCCCACAGTGGTGAGGGACATCAGGGAAGTCAGGATCTTGGAATCCAGGGTGGTGAGCTTGTTGTTATCCATGAGGAGGGTTTTCAGGTTAGGCATAGTTTCAAAGACGGAGAGGTCGATGGCTTTGATTTCGTTTCCAGTCAAATCGAGCTTTTCTAAGGTGCCCCAGGTCCACTCCATCCCACATGTCAAGTTGCTGATTTTGTTCCACTGCAAGAAGAGCGTGTGCAGGCTGCTCAGCCGGAGGAAGTGAGCAAAATTAATCTTTGTCAGCTGGTTGTGCTCGAGGTGAAGCTCCCTCAGCTTGATTAATCCTGCAAATCCATTGCGAGCCAAACTTCGCAAGCGGTTTGTGCTCAAATCCAGGAACTCCAGGCTACGACAGTCCCAGAACAGGCGGACCGGGATGGTCCGCAGGGAGTTGGATCGCAAGTGCAAGGTCTGTAGCTTGCGAAGGCCGTAGAAGAGCTCGGGGTGCAGAGAGGATAACTGATTAAAAGAGAGGTCCAAATTCTGCAGGTTAAGCAGCTGGCTAAAAGTTGTGTTTGGCAAATGAAAGATTTTGTTGGAACTTAAGACTAATTCCTTAAGTTTATACAGTCCTTGAAAAGAATCTTCTCTGACTGTTGCAATTTGATTATGATCTAAGTGAAGCCAAGTAAGTTGACTGAAGCTTGCAAATTGATCCCTTTCAAGTTCAGAAATATAATTGTGCCTCAGTGACAAACCTAGCGAGCCCTTTTCAGTGGTGTTTGGCACTGAGTGATACCCCTGAGAGTCACAGTAAAAGAGCAGCTTCTCACAGCGACATTTTGGTGGACAAGCCATGCCCAAGGCAGGCAGCATTTTTAAAACCATACTCATTGCATATAGTGCTGCCAGCATACGAGCCCCTAATGGCCACTTGAAATGTAAGCCTGCAGAATATAATTTAGGAAAACAACAAGATAGGATAGCCTGATCAGTACACTTGGAACATCACGGTGGAAGATTTCACTGCAGATAACATTGCCATGCATTTCCAACAAGCTAATTCTAAATGCAAGAAACAACTTACTATGAAAAACAGAACACTTGGATATTACACTGAGGAGCAGTCTTTAGCTCTATTACAGTGTCAAAATCGGAAAACATATCTTTTTTTTTTTTTTTTTTCATAAGGTTCAGTGCAGAAAAATTGCCTTTAGCATCTACCGGCTCCTCTCCAGCCCAGCCAGTCATTCACTACCCAAGGTATAGAGAAACGCAGAACTTACCCATTCTTTTGAGTACATTGGAGGTTGCATTCAGTCGTAGTTTTAGACTCAACGTGGTGAGTCTGTAAAAGGCTCTAATATAAGAAAGCCTTTGAATAATTTACCGGGTTCGGTGTCCTTTGATATTAGTGCAAAATCGAATCCACGAGGCTCTCTTGGAATATTCCTTTTGAAATCACTGGCTTGATCTCCTCTGACAGGTCTGCAATCTTTAATTTGAGGCTTAATACAAGTTTCCGTCCTCTGTGGCTGCTCAGCTGTTTAAGTGAAGCTCACGTTTTCTCTTTCCGCGGCTGTGGCTTCCTTTAGTCCTAACTTGTTGATGGCAGATGGGTGGCTTATTGCTGAGAGAAGCTCCTGTAGTAGCATGAGTGCATTTACTGAAAGGCTTTTCAGGGAAGCGGCACAAGAATGGATTTGCTTATGCGCTGCGACCACACAGGGCTGTATATAGGCTGACGTCACCTGGTGACGTTCCTTTTGTTTGGGTTTTCCAGAAGCTTTGCTGTTTTAAAGCATTGTGGTGCATACTGTGATCGTGTTGAAGACCACCAGTAAGAGGAGAGGGGGAGAAAAACCAACAGCAGGAGTCCTTCGTCCCCACGACTGAAGGAATAGGGAGGACTTGCAGCACCCAGCTCCCCCCCACATCCGTGCTGGCTGGAGCCAGTTGGCGTTAGGAGCCGCGCAGAGCTGCAGTTGGAAGCTCCTCAGTGCTCACTGCTGCCGGTTTCTCTTAAGTATCACAGCATAAAAGGAACTTTGAGATGCAAAATAAACACAGTGTGAATAGAGGAGGCTGGTCAGCACCAGCTTTTCACAGAGGTGAGAGGGGTTTGGCAGCTTAAAGCTCTGCCTGACAACTGTGTGTGACTGTGGTCCCTGCAGGAGTGGTAAAGGGAGAGAGGACAGGGGTTTAGGTGAGTGTGGTGTGTCCAAGTGGAGCACACAGCCCAGAGCCAGGGGCAGAGGTGGGCAGTTGAAGAGATGAGAAAGTTCTGGAAAAAGCAAAGCTTGCGTTCGGGTACAGGAAAAATTTAATTGGAATCCAGCTTGACAGCAGGCAGTTATGAAACGAGAAAATCTATTTTTTCCCCTGCAAACGGTGGCTTTTGTACTTGCTTTTTTCCTGGGGACTGGAGTGCAGGAGACGGAAGGGTGAGGTTGGTGTTCACAGTCGGGGCTCAGGGTGGTTGGAGGGCTCTCTCCTGGTCACCACTTCCATTCTGGTATTCTGTGCTCCCTGTGGAATGGGAGACATCACCTCTGCTAGCATCCCGCTGTGGGGCAGGTCACTGACAGTTAGCTGGGTGGGTTAGTTGCAGGAATCTGCATTTGCAGAGGCAGTGACCTGCAGAGCTGCTTGTGCTGGTGCAGCAGAGCCAGGCTCTGGCCAGAGCGTGCAGGCACCATGAGGAGATGAATGTGCCGGTACGGCTGCTTGTTTTAGAAGTTCATTGTCCTGTTCTGGGGAGGCCCCCCCCCCCCGATCCAGCTCTGGGGCAGCAGCACAAGAGGGACGTGGAGCTGTTGGAGAGAGTCCAGAGGAGGCCATGGAGATGCTGCGAGGGCTGGAGCAGCTCTGCTCTGGAGCCAGGCTGAGAGAGCTGGGCTGGGTCAGCCTGGAGAAGAGAAGGCTCCTGAAGGGGAGACCTTAGAGCAGCTCCAGTGCCTAAAGGGGCTGCAGGAAACCTGGAGAGGGGCTTTGGACAAGGGCCTGGAGGGACAGGCCAAGGGGAATGGCTTTAACCTGCCAGAGGGGAGACTGAGATGAGCTCTTAGGCAGAAGCTCTTCCCTGTGAGGGTGCTGAGGCGCTGGCACAGGGTGCCCAGGGAAGCTGTGGCTGCCCCATCCCTGGCAGTGTTCAAGGCCAGGTTGGACACAGGGGCTTGGAGCAAGCTGCTCTAGTGGGAGGTGTCCCTGCCTGTGGCAGGGGGTTACAACTGGTTGAGCTTTAAGGTCCTTTCCCACCCAGACCAGTCTGGATTCTGTGACCTCAGAATATGGGATGAGCTGACGATAACAAGCTTCCTGTACTGATGGAGAAAGGTGATGAATTTCACAAAATGAAAGATATTTAAGTCATTGTTATCTTTTGTTAAGAAGCTTTGGCTCCATAGAGGTAGTTATTTATATTAAGACTTGCTGTTTTCTGTCCTGGGTTCAGCAGTAGCAGTCATTTTTCTCCTTGGTAGCTGGTGCAGTGCTGTGTTTTGACTTTCAGCCTGGGAACAGAGCTGATAACAGTGATGTTTTGGTCTGGCCGAGGACTTTGTGAGCCTCATGCTCTGCCAGGGAGGAGGGGAAGAAGAGAGGAAGCAGAGACAGGACACCTGACCCAAACTGACCAAAGAGGTATTCCATACCACAGCACGTCATGCCCAGGATGTAACTGGGAGTTACCCAGAAGGGCTGGGGACTGTGGGGTTGGAGGAGGTATCAGTCAGTGCTTGGTCGGGCTTGGGGGGGTGAGTTATCGGTCGGCTGGTGGTGAAGTGTTGTATTCTCTTCCCTTGTTATTTCCTTTATCATTATTATCATTGGTGGTAGCAGTAGTGATCTGTGTTATACCTTAGTTACTAAACTGTTCTTATCTCAACCCATGGGAGTTGTATTCTTTTGATTCTCCTCTCCGTCCCTCCAGGCGCAGGGGGAGGGCAAGAAGGGGTGAAGTGATTGAATGAGTTGTCTGGCTGGGTTTAAACCACGACATTCTCCCATGTAATACAACCTGTGGTACTTTTTTTGTCCTGTCTAGAGGGGGCTGAAGGGAAATGCAGAGTTGAAGTAAAGGGATGGAGAAGGTGAACTCTTTAAAAATCAGACAAGAAAGGAAACCTCAAATCCACCCAGAAAGCAAAGCAAACCACAAAACCTGACCCCAACTCATCAGGAAAGTAACTGTCTTTAATGATAAAGCAAAATAGGAAATACTAGATAAGGTTCTTGAATTGCTCTGCCATACTTAATATTCCCACATTTACTCTAGAATGAAAGAAATCCATGCAAAGAATTTACATGAATATTGCAAAGAACAAACCAATTTAAAGAGTTTATTCATGGTTCATGTTCATGGTACGAAAAGTAGAGGAGCTGGAATCCCACCTGGGCTGTTAGCTGCCAGCTGTCGGATGGAGATACCACACTAGAGTACCTGTGGTTGTGCTTCTGGAGGCAGCTTCTCCAGTGCAGATCCTCATTTGAAGTGTTGATTTGAATTATAACACTTAAATACAATAATATTTAAAGACAAGGTGCCAAAGGGTGTACTTAAAATGACAATAGCCAGAAAGTCCAGTGTTGCTGCTCTCCTATGCTCCCTCTTTTTACTGTTACCAGGAGGCTGAATTTTGTTATCTTTTGGGAAGGGTTTGCTTTTTTGCGTCGGTATCTGTTGGTAGAATCCTCCCACATCAAGATTGTGTAATTTGGCACAGAGTTAAGAGTTAATGTTCAAACAGGGTAAGTTGCTGCCTTTCTAAAGCGCTCCATTCTTTGGCCTGTAACCAAGCAAGGGCTATTTAGCACCTTGCCAGCAAGTTTCCTGTTTGGGAAACTGTTAATGTGAACTTTATGGGTGCTTTTCTTAGCGAAACATGTTTATATGTGCACTTGTTGTGAAACAACTGATAGTACTGAAAGTGTGGTCTGATTCTCTGAAGTCTGGAACTCTGCAGTAGTGTTCATATTGTTCTCGGGAGCTGTCAGGATGTTACCAGCTGGGATTAACCCCCAGTTGTCCACAAATGTCATGCAGTTGTGTTTCTCCTGAGACTGAAAACTCACTTGCAAGTGGAGGAAGACCACGTGTATGTGCTATCCGGGGACTTGTGCCAGAATGGGTGCTTCTAAGTACTGGCCTGAATCGTAGAGTGAATCGTAGAATCCCGGAATGGTTTGGGTTGGAGGGGACCTTAAAGCTCATCCAGTTCCAACCCCCTCCCATGGGCAGGGACACCTTCCACTAGAGCAGCTTGCTCCAAGCCCTATCCAGGCTGGCTTTCTGAATCCTTATGTGCAACATGGATTGGGAACATGGCATGTCTGCCTCAGGAATAAGCATGCTAGGACCAGATAACCCTTTGGGGGGCTTCTCCCTTGCCCTGCTTTCCCAGCAGCAGCAGAACTGGTTTTCCTGCTAAACCCACACACTGGAAAAGCAGAATTGCACCCTGAGGCTAGCACTGTCATTTAGTTAGGCTGACATCTTGTGGAAGCCTTCCTAGTATATTAAGAACAACAAATAAGCTAATTTTCCTTGATGTAGATGGGGGCTGTGTGATGTTCCTGTGCTGTGGGCTCAGAGGATGGCCAGCCCTGGAGCTGCAGGCAAGGCTGGGCACTGGGATTGCAGCACGTGTGTGCCCCATGTGGACAGACAGCTCACCCTTCTGCCTGAAGGAATGATTGCCTTCATTTCTGCTGGATGTTACCATGTCGGGGATCACAGGAGTATTTGCTCCTTCTTTGCTAACAGCCTTTGTGTTGTTGGTAAGGCTGAGGTGAAGGTGACAAGCACAGAAGTGTGGCTGTAGCACTGCTGTGCATGCGCTGTCACTTGGATGTGCTACCATGGAGCTGGGTTAGCAGTGAGCCCCAGGAAGTGGACATAGGAGAGAAAAGGTGATCCATCATCCACAGGCATGTCCAGCTTTTCAGGACAGCTGCAGAGGTCCTTTGGGTGAAGGCAGTGACAGGATGGGACAGGGCACCACGGGCTGGGTGTTGCTGTCTTCATGGGAGTTAAGGACACGTGTGCTGCTGCATAGCATGGTGACTGTCACCTCCCTATCTGACAGCTCTGTCCCTGGCTCTGGTTGCACATTTTAATCCCTCTTTGTAGCAGGGTGAGTGCAGGAGCCAGCCTTCCCCTCTCCATGGGTGCTGCAGGGCCACCGTGGCTGCAGCCTGGCACTGGGGAGGGATGCTGGGATGGGAGCAGCATGGCCAGCAGCCCAGGCTGCTTTGTTCAGATTCTAGGTGATGGTAGTCCCCATGCTCAGCTGAGCTATGGCTTTGCTGCAGGAGACTCCTTCCTCCTACAAACCAGTGCATAGTTCTGCTTCCTCAGCCAGCAGATCTCGGATATGAAGACAGCACGGAAATTCAGATGTCATACTTGGCTGCTTACCCTTCCTGGTCTTGAATCAGCACTATAATATCTGAAATTCATTTGCCGCTCTAATATCATGAAAAAGGAGAGGTATGGATGGTTATCCTTCATAGGCATGCAGTTAGGCCAGGTGGCAAGGCAAAAAATGACAGACTTAGTCAGAGCACTGAATCTCCTGCTGCCCCACAAAGCACGGCTGGGCAACTGCCTCTGCAGTGCCTGCCCAGAGGAGTGGGTGCCAAACGCTCCTTGTCACCTATTAAATCACCATCATTGGCCACGGTGCAGCCTGTTGTACAGACAGCTCTGGAGACAAGGAATTCGCAGATGACCTGAAGCAGAAACCTCCCTTCAAACCATCTTACGTGGGTAATGGCATGTTGGGTGGCAAGCAGGGCAGAGTAGTGCTCAGTCACACAGCGGTGGCTCATCTGGCTCACATCTGGGTGCTGATTTGGAGAGGAGGGATGCAGGGCTCTGCAGGGGGTGGTGCCGGGCAGGAAGCACTGTTTCTCTCTCCGTTTTTAGCTTAACCTAAACTGGTGGTGAACCATGGAGATTAACAATGACAGGGTTTGTTACTTACCTCTAAAAACATGGCTTTGTGAATAACTCATTGTAGTACATGTCCTGCTGATCCTGGCAACATTCATGCACTGCCAGCACCATGCT